ATCTGTTGGTTAGTATATATTATTATTCTAATACTATATATATATATATATATATGGACATCTGTTTGAATATGTGTATATCTATCAATATTTAGTTTGTAAATTTTCGAATATATATATATATATGTGTGTGTGTGAGTGTGTGTGTGTGTGTATACAGAGATCAAGCCGTAGGCGTGATCTGGGCAGATTCATAGATGGATAGATGTAGTCCAGCACACGAAATGATATTGTTCGCAAATTGCTGAGACGAATATAAACCGATATACTTATTCGACTGTTGTGCCACCAGATTAGTCCTTTTTGTCTCACAATACTGAATGCATTACCAACATTACAGTACAAAGTGCTGAAGTCCGGAGAGCCCGATGCTTTGAGCCCTAATATAACTACTAAGTGCGACTGTCACTACAGTGGTCGTACTATTCATGGCGTCGAATTTGACTCATCGTATAAACGCGGAAAGCCTACCACCTTCGCACCGAATCAGGTAGGATCGATGCTGCTATATAGGTCTTATGGCGTATGTTTGTATGTGTCAGTGTATCAAGGAATCCAATACATGCAGGCAAACTGAATGAGTAGAAGACTTGGCCGAATCTGAAGCTAAAAGTTTTAAATTTGAGTTATTTTATGTGAAATATACAGCAAGGTAACTATTGTCCATAAGAAAAGGAATCCGGCATACTTAGTCTGCGTCCTTAAATTGCTTCCCTATCCCCGTACGATCCTCGCCAGAATCTTTGGTCAATTTCTTGGCTACCTCAGAAAGCTGGTATTGATCTGTTACATATCTATACGAGCCTTAAACAACCAACCGGTGTGTAGAATAGGCAATCAGGGCTTAATAATCATAGAGAAACGGATAGCATTGTGTATCATCTCCTCAATATCGGGTCTTCAGCCGGATTACCTCCTATTCTAAATGTATGCGCCCTTTAGAAACAGAGCGTATCGATGTTCAACACTCCACAAAATCTCTATACTTAAGAAACACACGGGGAATTAAGCTAACCTGACTGTATCTATAGGCTTCTAGCCAAGAATACTTAGATCATAAAACAGAGGATCGTTAGCAAAACGTCCCTACAAACGCATAAGCCATCGAGTATTCTTATTTGAATGATCTATACCCCACCAAAAACACAAAGATATCGTAGATTATCAGCACCTACGTACACAAAGGAGACTGGGATAGAGGTGTATTCATACCTGTACATCTCCACAATCACCCTAGGTCATCAAAGGCTGGACGCTGGCAATGCAGCTCATGCGTGAGGGGGACAAGTGGGAGTTGTATATCCCCTCAGAACTAGCCTACGGTGAACGAGGTGCTGGTTCCAAGATCAAAAAAGGGGAGGCTCTGATTTTCGAGATGGAGGTGTGCGTGTGTGATGGGTGTGGGCAAGCGTGTGTTTGTCTGCTGGGGACAGTGAATAAGATGTTACTTCGTATTTAAAGTTCTTCTGCTTAAAATGAGTGGTTCTGGTGTACAAACTATCTGCGAAACTCGATATATGGTTGTGCGTCACACATATACGGGCGACTATGCTTCTATAAACATACGAGTTGATAGGCTTGCATCAGGATTGAAATACAGTGATTTCCATAGTCTATTACAACACATCGATACAAGCATGCTGGAAAGTTCAGTTTTTACCTATCGCCTGCTTACGTTATATATGTACAGCAGTTGTCAGTATAGTGAATTGTACAGGGAACAGTATAATTCTCCGCGAGTATACTCACGAAATTTGTAGAAGATTGAAAGCACCTTATTAAACTACTGTCTGCTGAGTACAAAAACCATTTAGCCACTAAGGACCCCTTAATATTGCTTGCTTGCCGAAGTCAACTTTCTATCAGACCACACATATACTGGTAGTTTTTGAAGCACTTCTACAGATATTGACGTGGGCTTTTTTGCAATCCTAACATTACGTGCGCAGATCATAAAAGTGCACAAGGATGGTGTGCCATTCACCGTTTTTGGCTACCCGATCCTTGAACCGCGATTCTGGCCGATCCTAGTGGCAATGGCTTTCTTACTCTATAAAGTTTTCAGCGGTATGTATATTGTCAGTTATATATATATAAATTTATGTACTTATACATAAACATGCACACACACATATATTTATATATGTTTATGTATATATATATATTTATGTTTATGTTTATATTTAAATCTTTTTTATATTTTTATGAATTGTGTAAATATATCAATATATATATATATAGATCTAGTTATTTTTACTACACACATATATATATATATAAGTAGTAATATATGTTTATGTATGTATACATATACCATATATATAATATACATACACACACACACA